CGAGTTGGCCAGGATTGCGCCTCACGCTGTCCGTGCCGGTTGCAGTGACGATAATCAGCATCGTACAAGTTTATCCTACCGTGTCGCAGCGATGCCTCGAGAGATTCACGGACACAAAGGGAATCCAAGATGGCTTACCTGAAAAAGAAAGATAAACAGACGCGTTAGCCGCGTTAGGACGTCGACTGAGGCATTGCAACACAAACACATCTTACTCCGACGCCTAAATATTTGGCCAGATGTCATCTTGCGGCTTCCCGGGGGGCGCTCTCTCTCTCTCTCTCTCTCTCTCTCTCTCTCTCTCTCTCTCTCTCTCTCTCTCTCTCGTTACGGTGGTTTCGATGCGAAGAATTCGGCGGAAGAATTTCACCCCTTCTCCTCGCCACCCTCCACCCCCGCTCCCCGCCACGGCCAATCGAAACGTTCTTCCGCCGGCTCTTTGAACGTTCTCGTATTATCGCGAAAACTGTAACTCGATGCGTAACCCAGCAGGCACGCGCGCGCACGTTGTAGAGAGAAAATATCTCATAAATATGTAAAGCTCGTCGTTGATTGCTCGTCGGGGGATACTCGACGCGGTCCGGGGAAAATAAGTTGCGCGTACGATCGATAACGTGGAAATTCCACCAGCTACCCAAAGTGCATGATTATTAACGGCTAATATCGGCGCGGAAACACACCGTGGCGGAAAATATGACGCGCGAGAGAGTAAACACGCCGTTCTTTTATCGTTGCAGCTTGATACATCGGGACACGAGACCGGAACCGGCGATACGATGCTCGACCCTGAGAGGTGCGACCAGACTGCCGTCAGCGCCGGACCATCGCAGTGAGGCTCGACTGAGGATAGACCCGAAAGTGTTGGTGTTCGTGGAGACACTGTACTCGAGGCTGGGTCGCGAGATAGCAGAGTTGCTAGTTTATAATCGAATCAAGTGAGTAGAGACTTGATTTTTCGCAAGCGCAAACACGAAGTCGACGGACGGAGAGGCTGCGAGGGGCCAGGACGGAAGAGGACGAGACACGGAGTTTGTCCTATTTCTCGTCGTCGTGTCGTCTGGCGAGCTAGCTAGCTAACCCGAACGCGCTTGTTTGTCGCAGCGAATAATTACGTAGTAATTGATCCGCTTCGACGAATAAAGTCCCCGTCCTTCGCGGATGGCGCCTGACCTACTTGCATATACCACTGCCGCATTTCGCGGCGTCTTTTATGCGCGCAACGACCTGAATCCGGAAAAAGGATTTCACCCCGACGCGATCTCTGAAAAGTAGGTTACCGGCGCGGCGTGGGCCCTCCTCCCCGCGGGGAGTTCTCCGTTGCGATAGTTCATACTATTAGGCGCGAAAAGGTATACCGCTAACGGCGGTCCAGTTGTTGAAGTCGATCAATATCGTGAACACATTCCCCCACGTGGAAAACGCGATTCGCCGCGGCCCTCTTTACTCGCGAGAAACGCAAAGCAGCCTTCTTCGTAGCGTCTTTCGTGTGTGAGCGAGAACCTAAGTAAACGGTGAAGTTCCGCGAATTCGCCGAGGCGCTTTATTCCCGTATTTTTCAAGCGAAAGTCCGGGGCACGCGGTGAATTCGCATGTTTGCTTTAATTCTGCAAAATCGCCTGCGAAACTTTCCTCGTGCGCCGCCCTTGCCATCGGGGGAATTCAGGAGGAGAAGCATTCGTAACTTCCCCTCCCTGCCCCCTTTTTTGCTTTATTTACGCGACTCTCCCCGGGATTTTTCATTTTTACAAACAATTCTCTCGAGCGCCGGCCGCGCCCGGAGAAAATATTTTGACGTTTTTCCAGGGGAAAAACTGTGCCACCTAGATCTTGTTGTAATTCCGCACCGATCCAAATTTTTCAAAAAATTCCTGGCGTTATAATTTCGCGACGGGGATTCCGCAAATCCCGGTTTTACTGCATCGCGGGGCCGATGTTATTTCGCGAATGTCGGTATAAAAATTAGAAATGCAGATTCCTCGACCGCCGTAAAGTCCAAGCAGTTTTTATGCCATTATACCGGCTCTGCGAATATTTTAAAACCATTTTTCTCGCACACACACACACACACACACACACGCACACACCGTGCAAGTGCGCGAAAATCGCGCGAACAAGCGAGCGTTCGTGCCTTGACCCCTACGTAGTCATTTTATTCGCTTCTATTCTTCCGTCGTGTTCGCACGCGTCTGAAAGAACCGTGCCTACGTGTCCGAAAAGTGATTCGAAAAGTGCCTGCGAATTAAAATCACTGGCGCTACACCTCGTCGCGAGCGCGGAAATGGCGGAAATAGCAGTTTCGCGTAGCTCGCGTCGTGTTGATACACGACAATGTGAATTGTTAATACGCGAGCGCGCATAGACCGTTAGGGTGGCATGTTAGAGTGGCGCTCCGATATTCCGACAACTTGTGGCGCAACTGTTAACTGCAATATAGCGTAGATACGAATCCGCTTAGCTATAATACCGAGGCGCATGGGCTATAACGAATTCGCATCGCGCGGCCGCTGCAATTTCTGATTTATTTACGAATTCCGCGCGTAAAATCGCCGCGCTACGAACGTGTGTTTCGGTTCCCGCAAAATTATGCGCGTGATGAACACACGCTCGAAAAGTTCAGCGAATCCCCTATCGGGGACACAGTGTGTCGCGCGAGATTTACTCATTCAGCGATATGCGCACTCGTTAAACGGAATAGTCAATCCAAGCGCAGAGGAGTCGACCGGGCCGCTCGAAACTTTGGCGCGTAATGAAAGTGAGAGAGATAGAGAGCTTAAGCTGGATGTGTTCTCTAATCGAAGGAACTCCTGAGAGAAGTCACCCATCTATTCTCTCTCTTTTTCCGTCTGTCCGCTGATTCTTCCGCGACTGATCAAATAATAATAACGGGCTAGTGCGATCCGATGCTCCTCTGCGGTAGTAAGCTTTGGCAACTATTGGAAATTATAGCGACGCGGTTGCGTAACGTGGTACACGCCAAAGAAAGGGAAGAGACAGAGAGAGAGAGAGAGAGAGAGAGAACTAGCAAGAGAGAACAGCTTAGCGCACGACTCACTGATAGAGATGAATAGCGACAGGAGGGTAGGTTTGAACTGCACCCTCGTCGGGCGCCGTAAACGCGACGAAGAAAGACGCGCGGTGCACAACGCGACATCGCGCCGCGCCGGGACACGACACGGGGTGAACGTGCGGCGCATTCCCGCGAGGTGACGAGCGGTAATGGTGCGTCCTCTCGCGTGCGTATATACTAGGGGCTTGCTGTTGCATCGGCCGATATAATCGGAAAGGTAAGCAACAGCGGCACAAGAGCGCGGCAGGGGAAACCAACGGCAGCGCGTCGGCCAGGCTCGTGTCTCGCGTGGTCTCTCGTTTGCTTTATCCGGTGGAGTTTCATAATCGATACCGGCGCCTGTATGACCGAGTGAGAGAGAGAGAGAGAGAGAGAGAGAGAGAGAGAGAGAGAGGAGGCGCAGAAAGAGAGAGGAAAATGGCAGAGAGGCTCGCTGCCGCGCTCTGACCACTCGACCAGACAACGTCCACCTGCGTTGCGGCGGACGGCGGGCAAATTTTGTTGTCGGAGATTGCGAGGCGCAGATATACAAAGCGCCGAATTGCGCCCGCCGTGAACTACGCACGCCTGCACACAAAGTTCTGCGTGTGCACGTGAGAACGTGTCGCACCCCGACGTACACGCATAACCGTGCACTCGATATTTATCACGTTGTGTTCATTCTTATTGGTGTGTATCCTATTTCGCGCGCGCGCGTACAAGAGAACCGTTGTTCTCCCAGCCTATGTATAAAATACATAGCCCATGTAAATATACATATACTCACCACACACACACACACACACACATACATGCGCGCGCACGCGCGTGTAATGCGATACGGAGAGTTTAGAATCTGAGATCAAGCTGCACTAGATAAAACGCGATATCTTGCCCCGGGATACTCTCAGGCCGGAATATAAGAAAAATAAAGATGCAGGGCAAGGATGGCGAAGAACTTTTTACGGGAGAAAAAGAGAGAAAAAGTCGAGTTTTCGACGCCCTTTACCTCGGCCACACTCCCTCTGCGAGCACATCGTCTGTTTTGCCTCACAGCTGTGCGGCTTTTATTGCTTATTAACTGCTCCTCCGCGTGACTGCTCGTATCGCTTTATCGATTACGTCACGTCGCGAATGATGAATAATGCAGATGCAAAACATACGAGTTGGTCTCGCGAGAGCCGTATCGCGGCTCCGTTTCGCCGGCAATTTTTACACGTGCCCGGGGTCGTGGCGAAGAAATTGTCAGCGCAGAAAATTAATATTCGACAGGTCGCGCGACTGTGCACGCCCCGAACGAAAACATCCGCACGGTGCAATAGAAAAAAAATACGAAATTAGAACGGGACTTCCGACGTACGTGAAAACCGATTAAGCTATTAAATGTCAATTCCGTTCATCGTCGATACTCGCTGCTTCCTGGACGTGTGTCAGTCAAACGTGGTCTTCCCGTAGAGGTATCTCTCTTTCTCTCTTGCGCGCGCGCGCGATATTTTTTTGATCCATCCTGTATCGGCATTTTCGATACGTGTCTGTCCGTCGGAAAAGCCCCTAATAGACGTGCGCGCGTTATCAGGCGTAGGAGAAAGAAATCTCCCATTTCTCAATCGAGAGGACACAGCGACAATATCGATCACGGTTCTCCGGACACCCGCGTGCCACTCCGCCGTTACGCCGTCCGTGTTGGCCGCACACCAGCACGCAGTCTGCGAGACACGGTCTTCGTTACCAACGACATCGAGCGCGCGGCATGAGGGTGGCGGAGAGCCGCCGAGCAAAGGGTAAACGTTCCAGCGGGGCGGAAGCGCCGATCAACCCCTTGTGTTTGTGTGCCTGTGTTTGCGCGCGCGTGTGTATGTGTGTGTGTGTCGTGAATTTTTTGCGCAGATACCGGCGACTTTCATTTCGAGCCCTGCCTTTTCATCTCGCGTCTCGTCGCGTCTTCTTCATACACCGGCTGCCTTATGGCTCGCGTGTCCCGCATTGCCGCGGTTCGTCTTCATCTCCTTGACCGCACCCTTCCCTCTGCCCTCTCGCGCCTCTTTGCCCTCAGTATCTGCGATACCCCGGCGCGCGTGTCCGTTGGCTGGTGAGAGGAAAGCAGATGAACGGTGTCGTGTACCGCGGACCGCCGTTGCGAACGTGTCGGGCTTGTCTGGCCTGTCTCGCGCGAATTATGGCATGTTCTTTAACGTCCGCGTCGCTTTGCTACCGTGAGCTTACGGCGAACGAACGGTGTGTTACGTACGCGTGTCTGTGTGTACACGCGCGTCCACCTGAACTTTTAATAACGGCTGCTGCGTGATTGCCGGCTTCTTCCTGATTCTTCCGGCCGCGATACCGTCGTGCGCGCGGAAGTAATGTCTCGGTGCGTGAGTGGGGCGGGTGTTTCGAAATTATGATGAAGAATACGCGACGCGTTACTCAAGTCTTCCGCGAGGCCTGTGCTCGACGTGAGGGGGCGGCGAGGGCAGGTATCGCACGGCGCTCGCCGTTTATTTTCCCGCGGGAAGAAAATCAACGTCCGCCACGTAAACTCGGCTATTTATATCGCGCCAAGCCGCGTACGACGTGTACAAGTGCGTTGCGTAATTGCTTGAGATATTACCGCGCGTTATTTCCCGCCTCGGACGGCATAAAGAGCTAGAATCGTCGGGATACACAGACACAATGACGGCCATTCGTACGGTTCGATTTTTCAGACGCGCCGCGGATAACGCGGCTATAGATCGCGGACGTTGCGACGTAAATATAACGCGACCACGATCTCTCGCTATAGCTCCTCATAATTAAGTAAACGATACGGCTAATAATACGAACAGGAAGCGACGCAGTCGCCAGAAGAGGTACGCGGTGTAAAAGTGGCGCAAACCGGCGGGAATAAGATCG